CTTTTCTCACATGCGCAGCCATCCGAAAAAAGGAACAAAAAGCAAAAACGATATTTAACGAATCCTGATCGGTTCTATTTCTGTGTGCCTAGTTAGTCAGACAGAGTAATACTATACTTAGATACCACGCAAATAGAATAGGCTATTCTGTGAAACACGACCTAAAAGGAGTGTTGAAGCTTTAGGGGTAGGATTTTGGACCCTCCCCCCCAGACGTGACAGACATTCTTAGCAACCGCGCATCACAGACGTGACAGCCGTCCTTAGCAACCGTCACAGACATTCATCATCTGTTAGAGTAGATAAAACAAGATATATATATTCAAGTCCTGCAGTTCAAATGATATGATGGGAATTGTTTTTATATCGAGCCATTCTGTTCTTGAGTTTGAAACCAACCATTATATATATAGCCCCATTCGGTAATATAAAATAGATTTCTGACTGATCTTATTACTATTATTCATGTGGCAAAAAAATCAAAGTTTGTACCTCGACTAATACAACTAAAATACCTTCTGAAATTAGTTTTAGCAGCTATGTCTTGTTTCACATTTGTAGTCCTTCAGGAATTGCGCTAATAGCTTTTTCTAATGTTTTTCCGTTTTCTAATGCATACATAAGCAGCTGCGCAAAAATCTCTGTAAACAATCGAAAGTTTTGTTTCTTGTTTACTCTTTCAAGTCATATTCAACCCACATTGATAACGTACGAGTATCGTCTGATTTAGAGTACTATTGTGCCGGTGGGTTTGAGTTTTCTTCGAACGAAAACTGTACGCCTCTTTTTCTCTTCTTTTTCTACAAAGTGTCGGTGGGATGCCAGTAAGGACAGCCCTAAATAGCCCTCAAAAAGTTACTAAGGATACTTCTAGATAGCCCCCAAAAAGTTACTAAGAGTAATTCCGGACAGCCCTTGGAAAGTTAGTAAGGCAGGCTTACCGATTAGGGGGGGGGGGGAAGGAATGGAGAGTCCCCCCTCCCCAAATCGGAACGCTTTCTGCCAAATAAAATACCAAACCTGCTTCTAAAAAAAAGTCAACTATGGGACCCGACTCATCACATGGTCATATTCAGAAAATATGCTTTTTTTGGTAAAGAACTTTCTCCAGGATATTACTCACCCCTGAGGGGGCCTTTGTGAAGCTACCCCCACGTCCTGCCTGATGATCAGACGTTTTGAAAAACTAGGATTCGCAAAGCTACCCCTATCGCTTGGGTCTCACTGCTTTTTTCAAAACATTTCTCAGGAAAAATGTTTTGGAAAAACATTTTTGTCGACTTTCTGTCAAAATTTTTACGTCCTCCCCACTACCAAAAACAATCGCGAACCCTGTGCTAAGGGTACCATTAGATAGCCCCTAAATAGTTACTAAGGGTATTCCTAGATAGCCTTCAAAAAGTTGCTAAGGGGACTCCGAGATAGGCCCTCAAAAGTTACTAATAGTATCTCGAGATACTCGCTGAAAAATTGGTGACGGTACCTCCAGATAGTCCCCAGAACGTTACGAATCGTATTCCGAGATAGCTTCTGGGAAGTTACTAATAGTACTTTTAAAGAGGCCTTGAAAAGTTATTTATGGTAGCCCTGAATACGTTTCAAAAAATGAGTAAATACGGTGTTAAAGATACAGTATATTTCTTACATGACATAGAGAAATGTAAAAGTTTAATGTAATTAAAAAATTCTTATGTTGGACATATTAAAGTTAAAGAAGTAACGCTCACGTTCATGAGCGCTCATATGAGCGTGAGCTGTACACTCCTAACAAAAACCAAAAAATGCAAATGAAATCAAGGCACCAACAAGAGACCGATCAAATCCAAGCCCAAACAGTTATTGGATTGAATTCGCAAAACACGGAAGTCAACGAGAAAAATAAAATTAGCATACAGCCAATGGAATGAACAATGTGCCATGGCGGCTTGTGGCCTTATGCAACGCATGGCGTTTTCAATAGTGTTTGGTTCACTTTCCAAAAATTCGCAATGGCAAGAACAATCTAAGTAGGGATACGTTCGTTTATTGTGGACCCATTTTGTATGAAAAAGAAAATGCTATCATCAACTGGAGCGCCACTGATCGTAACTCTTACTTACCTGTCTTTCTGCGGTAGCAATGCACCAATGCTATTCTCCTCTCCACTCCTTTGTTTACTTGTGCATGTTTGCATTTGTATTGTTTGCCCTTGTTTTTGTTCAACCCAAAAATCAAAAACCTGTTTATTAAGTTTCCATCTGAATATTGACCTCTTTCATCTTGGTGATATAATCTGCTTCCGATGATAAAGATCCAGGTTTTCTTGCACTGATCTTGTGGAGCGGTTCCGAGATGGAAGCAGGTAACAGATACAGTGTACCGATGCGACCTCTGTGTGTGAACAGTTCTTAACAGAAAGAGAAAAAAAAAGGAAAGATGGAATAAGAAATGCAAAACAAAGGCAACCAAAACAAAATCAATCTGCTTGCTGAAAAAAATTAAGAAAGCAATATAAAAAGAAAAAGAGAAAAAAACAAATTTTGTTTACCTAGACAAAAGATTATCCACGTTGTTCTGATGATGAGCAATGTTTTCATGAATCTTGAAACGAGATTTGAATTCGACTTGTTTCTCAGAAAGCTGTGCCGAAAAAAAGAAAAACATTCAAAACGAAACCACAAAAAAACTCATTCATTCAATCATGGTTCTTGAACTTGTTCTTTTTATTGTTCTTACCATTTCCAATCTCTTGACCGCTGCTTTTGTTTGAAAGTCCAACCCCACTGCCTCATCTTGAGCTTGTTGTTTTGCTTCATTATCCAACGACAAAGCCGCTGTTTCATCATGCCCTTTGCTGTTGTTGCTGTGACTGTTGTTGTTATTGTTGTTGGCGTTGTTGCTGTTATTGCTATTGTGGCTATGCAGAGTCTGAGAAGCTTGTTTCTGGGACGAATTGGATTTGTGAAATTTAGTTGCACAGAGTAAACAACGATCTTGTGTTCGACCTGGGGGGGGGGGGGGAGGGAAGGAAAAAGAAAAGAAAAAAACACAATATAAGAAAACGAGAACACAATTCAGCAACACCACAAAATAAAACAGAAAAAAACCATTTTACCAAGACACATTTCATGAGAAGCATGACCACAATCGAAAATCAACAACGTCCTGTAAAGGCTTTGGCTAAATCACCCATTAACAACTCATCGCTTAACAAACGGCTACAAGAATCACAACTTTCATATTTGGGAGTAAACGCACGAGCAGAACGACGTTGACGTTGTGCTACAGAACGAAACGTGTCATCGTAAAAGAGCTTTTTGGCTGTGAAGAGAGAGAGAGAGAGAGAGAAAAATAAATAATGGGGTAAGGAAAGCACGAATTGAAGGAGAAAAAAATTCAAAAAATAATGCAATGAGCAAGATAAATTCGACACACACATACACGTACCAGTAACAAGAATGCTTTCTTCATAAGTATAAGTACCCGACATGACTCGTAAAGTTTCTCGAAACTCTGAAAAGAGATCTGCTTGATGATCCGTCGTGATTTTCCTGAAAAAAAATGAACACAGAGGGAAAAAAAACAGTGAAAAGAAGCAAAAGCAAGCAATCAAACCAGAAAAACGAAGAACAATACCTGAGCAATGCTGGAAGAGTAACATGTTCCATCATTTGAGCCATAGTCTTAGAAACCTTAATTTTTTTGTTTTTTTGATAATGAATAAGAAAACAGAAAGATACATAAAATCACAAATAACATGTTAGGGCTCATCAAAATATAAAATCTGAAAACAAACACAATGTAAACAAACCAGAGCAATGCAAAAAACATACTAGATGATGTAAAATCAATTCCATTAAAGCAGCCACATTTAAATTCAACTTTTCTTTTTGCATTCGAAACTGTCTTTGTACAGTAGCAATTTCATCCAATAAAGAGAACCATAATGCTTCTGATGCTGCATCCTGTCGTTTGCTGTGACGCTGACAAAGAGAAGAAGCCGTGGATATGACCTGTGTGTGTGTTTTTTTTTTATTTTTTGAAGTGGAAAGATGAAAAAATGAAAAAAAAAACAATTGCGTATCAAAAATACATACATATATTCAAACAAAAAAAAAACCAACGCACACAAACACACATACCTTGAAACAAACAAAAAACAACAAATCAAAAAAAGAAAAGAGGATGGGTGACTAGAGGGTGAGTTAAGAGTATAAGTTTGGATCGTATGAGAAAGCATTGAAGAATTCTAAAAAGAATTATTATCTATGTTCATCTCACTTATCCACGACATCATATTCGTATCAGTAGTTGGAATATATCCACAGTTGACATGCTTTAGACAGTACGAGAGAGTGAATAAAAAGGATCACAAGAGCAGAGTAGGAATCGAACCCACATCTTTCGATAACCGGTCAGTTGCTCTACCGTTAAGCTACCTGTTCTATCACCTTAGTTACACAGAGTAATTACACATCAGATATTCGTCGTAGAGATACGCATATATATTAGCGTGTCCGGAAAGTTCGTAGAACCCATATACAGGGTTGAAAATAATATTATTGAGGGGTGAGGATGTGAGTTTTAAATAAGATTATACTACGACCGGTTTCGTCGTACTTTCAACGACTCATCAGGCAGTTTAATTAAGGGTGAGGTTGAGTCACGAAGCACACCGTTATCGCGATTTCGACCTTGCTTAAGGGTCTCATCAGACGGCTTAATTGCAGATATAGACTCTATTCTAATGATCCGAAGATCACAAATAAGACATCCATATATACAACTAGCGAAGGTACCCGATGTATGGAGATGATACGATAGCATATATCTAACGGATGATAATACGATGTTGCCACAGTCCTCAACAGCTATTCATCTGCAATATCATAAGCTACACTCGAATCTTTTCTTTTTTAATTTTAATATTTAACATATTAACAGCCGTTATAGACTTTTCTCTGTTTTATATTTTTATTGATGAACTTCTTCCAAGCAAAAAAAAAGGACAATAGAAATTTTCATTGTAAAGCTGAATTGTGCACGATGTTCTTCGTTTTTTCATCTAGAGCAAAAACATACAAATTCTTTCCCGTTCCTACTCTCGAGCATGCCACATAAAGTTGACCATGAGAAAAGCAAGGAGTTTCTAAATTGACACCAGCAACTTTAAGTGATTGCCCTTGAGCCTTATTAATAGACATTGCGAAGGCAAGCCGTACTGGAAACTGAAGTCGTGTAAATTCGAATGGTATATCAGAAGGGAGCAAAGGTATTTTTGGTATGAATACATCTTCACCTTTTGCACAACCTGTCATGATCGTTGCTTCGATTACATGAGGCATTAGAGTTTTGACACATAGCCTTGTACCATTACATAATCTTGGTGCATCCAGATTTCTTAGGAGCATAATAGATGATCCAATTTTCAGACGCAAGTTATGTGGTGGCATTCCAGAAGGTTCGAGTGAATTGAGAAACTCAGTTGGATACTGAACTACCATGTCGATATCTTTAACTGTATCAATTGATTTGTAAGATATAGCTTCACCAGGAAGTTGTTGCTGTATTTGTAGATTGATAGCATTTACATTGACGTTTTTCGGAGCCAGAATAGCACGTTCACATAACCATTTGTGATCCTTGTACTGAGTTTGAATGTTTGGAAACACTTTATTCTTGAGTTCTTCGACTGATTCAACGATATTGCAAAAGTTGTCTGAAATATTAATAAGTCCACTGACTGGGTCAGCAGGTATTTTGCCATTTCCAATTGCGAGAAGTTGTTCAGCGAAACGGCCGGCAGATACGTCACCTTGTAAGTGCACTCTCATGTTAGTACTGAGTTTTAATGGTACAACATGTCTCCAAAGATACGAAGATTTCAAGCAAGCTTTTAGCTCATCAGCCATGGTACCCTTTGGAATAACTGGTAATGTTTGCCTAAAATCGCCAGCAATAAGTACAACTACTCCACCCATATTCTTTCCATTGTTACGAAGATCCTGTAAAGTATGGTTCAAAGCTTCTAATGCATACCTATGAGCCATTGTGCACTCGTCCCATACAATAAGTTCACATTCTTGCAGAACCTTTGCTTCGCCAGTTCCTTTGGTAATACTACAGACATGAGTTTGATTTTCCAAAAACTTAAGAGGTAACTTTAATGTCGAGTGCGCAGTACGACCACCGTGAAGCAGCGTAGCAGCGATACCGGAAGAGGCGACCGCAATCGCAATCTTTGACTGATGCCGGATTTTAGCCAATAACAAATTAATGACAAATGTCTTCCCTGTTCCACCAGGTGCATCAAGGAAGATTATTCCACCAGCTTTCTTCTCGATCTGATTCAAAATCGCATCGTATGCAGCTCTCTGATCCGGCACCAACAGTGGCTCATTTGCTGTTATATAAGCATCCAACTCTTTCACATCATAACTTGTTTCTCTGAGCATTGCACTGTTTAATCGATCACCCGAATTTCGTTGAGGAGTTGGGAGCTCT